TCAGGGCCGATCCAGGGGAACCCTCTGGAAGATTTCTCCAGTGGTGCAGCTTCACTGGCAGCGCTTCCACTTGTGCTTCCCGGGAGGGGGAGCGTTCTGAGGGGCAGCACGTCCCGGAGCAGCCCAGAGCTCGCAGCTCTGAGGCAGGACCGCTCACCCCACTGACGCACGTTGCTTCAGGGGCTGCCTCCACGGCTTTTAATCCCTCCACTGATGCCACTTAAGAGTTTTTAATCAGCTCGAATGTTCATTCAGCAGCAGCAGGATATGAAGCAGCAGCCCATGGGGTCCTCATCCAGCACCCCAGGAGGATGACACCAGTGCGTGGGGCATGGCAGTGATGGGAGGTGGCCGTGAGGGCTGCGTGGAAGCAGAGGGCTCAGTGCAGGGGAGAGAGGTAACCCAGCACCTTCACATTAAGGCTTGTTCAACCCACACTGCACAACCCCACAGCGTTAGAGGGTCCCACTGAAGCAGCATCCACGGGAGGGCCCAATCAACCCCCAGCAACTCAAGAGGGCAGCTACCAAAAAGACACACAAAGATGCTCACATTGCAGGAGGAGACAAGAGAACAGCCCCAACCTTCCCCAAACTACAAGGAGGGGTCAAATACTCCTTAGGGTGGGGAGCAGTCACAAAGCTGGACCATCACAGAGCCATTAACCGACCATTAGCAGATATTAGCCTAATCCAGCCACTCCCTTACTGTATTAGAAAGGCTTTTGTCCTCTCTGCCCAAAAGGCATGGCTGTGGGAACAGCCTTCAGCACAGCGTGCAAAGGAGAGCAGCTCACCTCTGCTGGACCAGAGCTGGGGAGAACTGACACCCCACACCTGCATTTTGGAAGGGTACCAGAGCACAAAACCTGCTGACTGGCTTGTGTGCAGCATCCACAGCAGAACTAAAGGCAAAGCTGCTGGGACATGAAGGCAAAAGTGGAAGAAGTCGGTGACATACCAAAGAACAAGCAAAATTCTGATTGCCTGGCTCAGGGAGGGTCACAGCTTTCCAGGTTATGACATAAACCAAGGCTGAGCAGGGGCTGAAGCTGTCCTGAGGAAGAACATGACCCACCGCACGACCCAGCAGCGTCATAAGCTGTGCACCAGTGCCACAATAAGAGGTTACATGAGTTTCTTGGCCAACTTCAATTACCTGGGAGCAGAACTCAGGCCCTGCTCTAAATCCCATTTTAAGCTTCTCAAGCAGGTTTCCAATTTAAGATCCGCCTTTAATAACAGCCAGAGGTCGGCTGATTCAAACGCACAACTACACAATGCATTAGAAAAACCCTATAGGAAGCACAGCAAAATGTTCTGCCACCCCATAAAGAAGGCAGAGGAACATTCTGGGTGTGCAGTGAGCAGATGGCTGGTGCTGGGCTCCTATCTGGGCACACTGTTATGCAAGTGCATCCATCCCTGCTGCAGCTGCGTCATGGACTGTGTGATCAGTGCAGACTCAGGGCTGGCTCTGGCTGCAGATGGGGGGGGGGTGCAGAAGGCAGCTGGGTTTTAAGCAAACAGCCCCAGGGTAGGACTGTCCCTCGGTGTTTGTCATCCCTGCATGTACTATTCTGCAGGATGAAGCTTCCCCGCAGGGCAGGGGCTGGTTGCATAACTGAGCAGCACCGAGTCAGCACAGAGCCACTGCACATGGGCACAGCAAAGCCCATCCGAACCTCAGCAGAGCTGTTCCCAGCAGGCAGAGAAGACCCACGCCTGGCCCTGGGGCACAAGGTGGGGTGTCCTGCTCCTGCCCCAGGACTGCTTCACACCCAGCACATCCACAGATTCACTCCCCACCCTAATCCCCAGCCCACACTTGCACTGGGATCAGCCCCAGGCAGAAGCAGTCGCATCAATTCCTTGTGCTGGAGATCTTCGGGGCCTTAAATATTCCATTTTGTAATGAAATCTTTTATAACACGGAGGGATGGTCTGTGGGCCAGTCTGGACAAAGCACTAGTGACAGAACTAGACCCAGCCAATGGGCCTTTCCATTTCCATATTCCTATTGCTCTGCACACAGCACAAAGCTTCACTGGACACACACACACACAGAGGGGACGGGCAGGACATTGCTTTACATAAGCTCAGGAACATTCAAGTGGGCAGCAATGAGGCTTTTTTAGCAAAACCTGCCAAAATGCCCCCACATACTTTCCGGCGGCTGGAGGCTCCCTCCTGGGCACGGGCCAGGCACACAGTCACCTTGTCCCTCCATGCTCTCCTCTGGTCGGGTTTGGGGTGACGGTAGGGCTGGGAGCCCAAGCTGCAGCACCAGCACATGACATGGGCAGGCTTTCAGAGGTCTCTTGTGACCAGCAATGCTCAGGCAGCTCTGCAGCAGCTTGAGAAAGAACCAGGCTGGGAAGACATCAGCCTCACCCCTAGTAATCTGTCATTTTTCACTTCAGTTGAAGTGTTTGGCCAGGACAATCCCTAGTAACGGCTCCTGTTTACACGCTGCTTTGCCATGCAGGCAACACCTTCCAGCCCTTCAGTATCACTGCTTAATGGCACTGCCAACTACCCCATATCCCTGGGGTGCCTTCCAACCATGTGTGACCATCCAGACCTCAGAACCAGGACCTCTGAGCTTGGGATTATTTAGAAACCAAGCTGGGGGAGAAGGGAGAGGACTCTGCTTGAACAGTGCTGAGCTCGGGCTGAGCACAACTGCTTTGTAAGCAGACACAGGTCTAAAAATTAGATGCTACACTCCACAGAGCAGAGGAGGCAGAACTGGCAGCTCCTTCCCTGCCCCTGGATGAGATGGAAGTACCGAAAGCTGGGATCAGAAGGTGCTCACAGGTCTCTGCCATGCACCAGCCAGGACCTCAGAGAGGCAGGGGGGCCGCCCCGCCCTA